TTCATCAGTGGCTAGAAGTGAAGGTAAGGGAATTATAGGGGTGAGTATTGTTCGAATTAGTTTGGTTTGGAATAAAAACCAAGACCAATCGGTTGTCTACGGTTCCATAAAAATTAAAACCAAACCAATCCATTTAAACACGGTTCGACTATGTTTGGAACCACGATTTCCCATAATCTTTTCATAAGAAAAATCATATAACATTTTCAAAAAAATTCAACCTATCATAAATTGTTAAACATTAATTTGCCCATGATTTTTCGAAACATAACTTAAACAAATACAATTTTCTAGTAAATCAACATTGTGTTTAACATGCAGTAAGAATAAAATTCCTATCAAACAAACATTTTGTCATGGCAACAACAATTACAAAACTAAAATTATGCTAAATAATTAAAAAAAAAAAGCAAGAATAGTAGCAAGAACAACAATAATAGCATTAGGTATATGGTATATATATGGTTTAAGTTGCATACAATCCGGTTTGGTTATAATCTGGAAATGTGAATTCAAATCTGGAATCGATCCACGGAGACCGGCTCCTTAATTTTCCATATCTGAATTGAATCATGGATTCAAAACACCAGTTCAAACCTACTGAATTGAACTGGACAGGCTCGGATTGTGAAAATTTCAAATTCCTTACTTAGCCCTAAGGGATTAGGGTCAAATTTTGAGCGTGAGGGTAGAATTGGAAATAATGTAGGGATCCACAAAAAAAAAAAAAAAAAAAAAAAAAATTGAAATTTCAAAATTTAGAAATGTAGGTCCAAAGAAGATTGGTGTCTATAGAAATTTGATCGGGATAAATAATAACACTCATGTTTGAGTTAGTCATATTTTATGTTTTGTTTACGAAAAAGTGTGTAAACAAATGTATTTTCTTTATGGGATGTTATTCGGTCTTACTTAATTAACTGATAACTACTTAAAATAATACCGAGGTTGAGGTTGAGGTTGAGGTTGAGGTTGAAGATGGTGGTTAACTATGTGGAAATCATTGACTAACTCGAAATACAAGGTCAAAAGGGTCATTTTAGGCCTCGTTTGGTAAGTGGCTATTTTAGCTAAAAAGTCACTAAAAAAAATAAAAAAACCAACAACACATATCAAAAAGTCAAAGATTCTCTTTTCTATCTACTTTATGCATATTTTTTCATAAAAAACTAAAAAGTCATCTCAAACATACTAATTTTTTTTTAGCTCATATTTTAGTTAAATAGTCAAAAAATTACTAAATTAGCTAGTTTGCAAATGAGGCCCTCGAATGTAGGCTAGCGAGCAGGCGTCTATAACTGGTCAGGGAAAGCTAACGATGACAACTAGAAAAATGCAAAAACAAAGCTATGTGAAAAATACAATAATAATAAAAAAATATAAAATGAAAAAGAAAGCAGACAAAATTTCAAACTCTTGGGCTCATCCATAAATAAATATACAAGTGCCACATTGAAAAGTCCATTATAAGTCAAAACAAGTCAAAATGACAAAAGAACCCCCACCCTATTTGTTTCATTGATGGTGGAATAGGATTAATAATTCAACAAGCCCACATAAATTATGTTTATTCCCCTGGGACTACAAATTCCTCAAGGGCGTATTAGTAATTCCATAGGATATTTATCTTTATTTTATGAAAATAATAAAATCATATTTTCTATAGTGAGGGATTTTCACATAAATTTATATGTTTAATCTCAATCAACTAGTAGAGTAATTATATTTGTACATTTCAAAAAATTTCAGTGTACACTATTTATGTCGTTTGAATGTAAATTTCAAAAAAAAATAAAAAGCTTTTGAAATATAAACAATTGAACAAAATGTATATCTGAATTATTCATTTTTGTTTATAAATTTATATTTGAATATTTAACTTTTTTAAAAATTTATATCTGAACAATACAAATATTGTGTACTGAATTTTTTATGCAATGTGCAAATATAATTTTCTCAACTTATATCACAATACTAATATACAAATAAACACAATTTATGTTATTTTCAACCATAATACCACTATACTAGTAATCTTATCGCATTAATAATCTCATCTAATCTAATTCAACAAACAAAAGATAATCTAATAAGACTTGGTTAATTTTAAATAGAGAAACATGAAACGAGTTTTATTTTTTCATTTTTTTTATTGAATCCTAATTATATTGTATTAATAAGGTCTCGTTTGGAGACTAAATATTTTAGTCAAAAAGTAATTATAACCTGTCATATCACTCTCTTTATTTTTTACACTTTTTTTTTATAAAAAAAAATAAAAAATTACTAAATAATTTATTATCAAATGAGGCCTAAGATTCAATCAAATTTAGACGAAGAAAAATTTATTAACAATCTTCTCTTTTGAATACCTAATGCACTCCATATTTATTCAAGCGGACTACATTAGATTATTGAAAAATGTTTGAGAGCCCGAAATCAGTGGCTCGATGTCGGCTCGAAACCCAAAACGACATCGTTTTGGGTTTGAAATTTTTGTTTTTCTTTCTTTTTCTTCTTATTCTTCGTTTTGAACACAAGAGAAAAGAAACAGAGGCGAGAGAGAGAAACAGAGGCGAGAGGCGAGAGAGTCGTCGCAGCTCGTCGCTCGTCGGCCGATCGTCGTAGCTCGTCGCAGCTCGTCGGCCGATCGTCGCATCGCAGCCCCGCCTCCGCCTCCGCCCGATTTTGATGGCCCTTCTAGTTCTGCTTCTCCTTCTTCTTCTTCTTCTTCCTCCTTCTTCCTTCTCAAACAACATTCGGGCCACTCTCGAGCCACAACATTCGAGCTACGAATCGGAATTGTAGTTTATTAGCATTCTTACGTGATATTATTAATCCATTGCATTTCTTATCAGATGTTTTGGATTGGGTCAACATTAGGGGTGCAACTTTGCAGATTTAACCTGAGCAACTTTAGCTTGTAAAGTTTAGAGAATATATTTTTTAATTTGCTTCGAGTTTTAATAAAATTTAGAAAATTGAATTAAATTTGAATGGATTTAGACAAAGATATCAAATAACCCGAAATCCAAATTATATATAAAAATATTAAATATACATATAATTATTAGTTATTACATGATATTAACATAATTTAGATTATTAAATCATATTGAATATATATTATATATACAAGTAATACAAAATCTTATATTTTTTTTATTCTCACTCATAAATTGTAAAGATTACCATAATGCATCTCTCTTACATTATATAAATTATTTGTTTTGATATTATTAATGGTTTTCTTAAAAAAATATAAATAGAGTCTAATTTTAATAAATTAATAATTTAACCAAAAAAAAAAACTGAAATTTATGTACAATTTAGGCAACTCATGCAATTCGGGTCGGGTTTAGATAGACAACCTCATATTATAATTCAGGTATGGATAAGTCTTAGCATAACTTCAGTTGGGCTTGGATAGCCTCATAATCTGACCAAACTTGTCTGAGTTGCACCCCTAACCAACATTATCATAAATAATTGATAAAATCCAATAAAGTTTACAATTCAATTAATTAGGTAGGGCCTGTTTGATAACCATTATGTTTTCAGTTTATATTTATAAAAATTTTAAAAACTGTCAAAAAAATTTATTTCATAATTTTTTTAGTTTATAAATGGCTGTCTCAGTTTATAAATTTGAGGAAAAAACGTAAACTCAAAAAATGAGTTTACGTTTTCAGTTTTCAATTTTCAATTTTCAATTTTTGTTTTCAATTATTTTTTTTTTCAAATAATTTATTTTCAAATTTTTTTCAAATATTTTTTTTTCAATTAATCTTTTTTTTCAAATATTTTTTTCCCAATTATTTTTTTTTCAATTATTTTTTTAATTAATTTTTTTAATTTTTTTTTCAAATATTTTTTTTCCCAATTAATTTTTTTAATTAATTTTTTTTCAATTATAATGTGTGTGATCCTATTGTTATAAATAATAAATATAAATATAAATATTTTAGGACCGAACAAACATATTTTTTAGTTTATGTTTTTAAAATTTTTTAAAACGCGTTTGTAGTTTATAAAATTTTTGTAAACATAAACAAAAAATGTAAATGTTACCAAATGCTAATAATTGAAAAAAAATTTAATTGGGAAAAAAAAATTTGAAAAAAATTAATTGAAAAAAAAATTGAAACGTAAACTTATTTTTTGAATTTACATTTTTTCCTTAAATTTATAAACTGAGACAACCATTTAAAAATAAAAAAAATCATCAAATAAGTTTTTATGACATTTTTAAAATTTTTTGTAAATATAAACTGAAAACTGAAAACGAAATAGTTACCAAACAGGCTTCAAATGGTAAAAATATCATAAAATTAACAAATAATTAAATAAGTTACCAATGTAAGAAATAACTTATCAAAAGATTCTTAGGCTATGTATGGTTTGATTTTTAGAAAAAAAAAATTTAAATATAAAAAATTAATTTGGTTAAGAAATAAAAAATAAAAAATTAATTATCATTTAAGGGTAAAAAATAATTATCATTTTAACTTTTGGACAGATTATATACATACGTATGGCTGTTTCAATTTAATTTGTAAAAAATTATTTCTAACCACTCGAAAGATAAAAATTATATAAAAATATTTTTATTTTTGTTAAAAAAATAATATTTTTTATTTAATAAAAAACCCCTACAATTTTACACCAAAGAAAAACTCATTTTTTAAATTCATGTGTTTAAGAAGATGAATAATTGATAATTAATTAATAATTAAAGAATAATTACTCACCGATCATTTTTGACACGTAATTAAATTTAAAAAATTGAATAAAAAGCTCATAAACAGCATAAAGTATTTTTTCTGTTGAGTAAAAAGTTTACAAACAGTAGAAAGAATTTTTCTAGGTTTGAAGGCATCTCTATCCAACTTTGCTTTAAGCCTTTAATACATATACACAGTATATATATATATATATATATATTATATAGAATTTATTATATTCTCAATCTATGACTATATACATATACACAGTATATATATTATTCTGTGTTACCAGCTTCTATTCCATCAGATAGATTTCTCTCTAACCCTCTTTCTTTTTCTCTCTTTCTGTATCTTCTTTTCTGTATATTTGTGCCTCTACTTCTTTAGAGGATCTTCATTTCAGAAACAAAAAGCTTGTTTTTTTGTTTTTTGTTTTTTGTTTTTGTTTTAATATTTCTGGGTATGTTAAATCTTGGTCTTTAGAGGTTAAGAGAGCAGAAGCAAGAAGAAACCATGGATTGAAATCTGACATTATTGTATTATTCACTTTTGTTTGAAGTATTGGATTCAACAACATGTCACAGACCAATTGGGAAGCTGATAAAATGTAAGTTTTTCTATTCATATCATTCTTTATTCTTCTTGTTTTAGTCCTCTATTCGAGGTTGTTTTTTATTTTCAATCAGTGTTTTGTTCATGTTGTCTTTTGTTAGATTTGGGTTATATATTTGATTTTCTGGGTTTTGTTTTCTTGATTTTGGGAATCAATTTTCTTTTCTTGATGGGTTACTGTTGTTTTAGTCATTGCGGAGTTCTAGGGTTTCTACTTTGAGCAGTTCTTTTGGGCTGAATCTGTGAAATATCTGCTTTTGTGATTACTTTTTTATGTTAAAAAGTTTGGATTATGGGTGTTTATTGGCTGGGTTATACAAGTACTCTCTCTCTCTCTCTCTGGGTCATAATTTTTGAAGCAGATTTGACTATGAAGTTCGTCAGCACCAGTTTTCATTGCTAGGTTGGAGAAATTTTGTTTTTTTTTTTCTTGCAGATTCAAGGTGTGGGTGTTTCAGGCTTGGTTGTATCAGTCCATGTGTCTAATTATTATTATTTTTATTTGATTTTTTGGGTATTTTTATTATGATTATTTGGTATTTGCTGTGCTCAGAATGTTTGAACTTATTTTTTTTTTTTGGTTCATATAGTTTTAATTTTCCCCTGATATTTGGAGCAACATGTTCCCCAGGCTAGATGTGTATATCCATGATTACCTAGTAAAAAGGGATCTCAAGGCTTCTGCACAGGCTTTCCAAGCTGAAGGGAAAGTATCCTCTGATCCAGTCGGTAAGATAATTTTTAAAATTATTTCAGGAGGGATGGAACTGAAAAAAAAAAGCCTTTTGAGTTGTGAATTTGGTTTAGTTAGTTTTTGTGATTTGTTTTAAATATTGAGACCTGGGTATTTCAGCTATCGATGCTCCTGGTGGTTTTCTCTTCGAATGGTGGTCAGTGTTTTGGGACATATTCATTGCTCGAACTAATGAGAAGCACTCAGAGGTTGCCGCATCTTACATTGAGGTTGGTTTGAGAATTTTGTTTTGTCAATGGTATATATCTTGAATCTTGATAGTTTCCTGGGCTGTGTTTAATTGGATTGAAGTGTTCTTTGATGTAACAGTCATCATACAGTTGCACTCTGAAGACCTCCAAGACTCTGTTTTCCAGTGCATTTATCCCAAATCATTCATGTGATTTTGCCAAAAAACATGAATCATCGTTATAAATTCACACAACTTTCACTTTTTTATTTATTTATAAATAACTCACATTATCTGCCAAACTCGAATGCCAGCTTTATTTATGTGAGTCTATCGTCTTAAATTCATCTACTTTGTCATTGCGTATTTCTTGTTTTCCCATTACATTGTTTGTTAAAATGGTTGTTTGACTAACACTACAAAAAAATTGCTTGCTTTCCACTTGCTGTTTTTGTTGACATAGCAAGTGTATTTGCCGGAATGTGTTAATAGTGGTTAACTGATTTAAATTAACTCTGTCAAAATGTGATTGGTGTGAAAGAACGCATTTATCATTATTGTTCCCTTGGATTTTAGACCTACCTAATCCGCTAGAGATCCTCTCCTACTTCCCTTGTAATTCTGTATCTGCTGATGTTGATGTTTTTTGTGGAATTATGGGAATGCTTGAAGTGAAGTATCCCTCACCTAATTTTTGCCAACAGATCTGAATTGTTGCACAATCTGAAGCATTATTTGAATTGTATGAAATGTTTAGTGATCTGAATTTTTTTTATTCGGAAATGTTTTTGGATATGTGAAAGTAGTTCTCTGACTATCAATCTAACTCATGATGGGGCCTTGTTGGATTATTAAGTTGATAGTATTTGCACCTTTGGATGAAGTTATAAGTATTTGTGAGTTTGTCTTGTACATGTTTTATGTAGAAACCTAAAAGTTATAATAGCCAAATGCAGAAGTGGTTCAAGTTCAAGGATCCAAAATTCTAGCTCAATGGCCCTTCTCGTTTGGGCAATCTAAGGCTTTCAAATGTGAAACTATAGTCTATCTATTGGTTAATTGATTATTGAGCCGTGCTTGAAGTTGGAGAGAGACCTTACTGGTTAGCTGTTGGCTGTGAGGCACAAGGCAGTTAGCCCACATCTTAAATTGATTTTGGGCTTCACATGGGTTGAAGGAAATCCTCTCCATGACTGTAGAGTTGGTTTTTATTTTAACTAGGCTCGTGTTGTAATGTG